GGTAACAGATAGCCTATAGCTATACAAAATGACAACTTGGAGATGAACAAGGCAGCCAACAAAAGAGCAGCAATGCAAGACTCAAATAACTGAGCAAGGCAACTAAGTATACTAACAACAGGAGCTTAGCCATTAGAAACAACAAAACTCAACAAGCTACACCAAGTGCAAGAATGAGTCGCCCAAATTACTCTAAGAAATCACCCAAATTACTCAAAGAAAGTTTTCCTAGTCCAAATTTGAAGGTGCATGATTAAAAATATTCCCAAAGCTGAACTCTTCCCAAGGGCCATGTGATATATGTGAAAAAAATTAAGGTACTCCAACTGTGATTTCTTGCTTTCTGAAACAAGCTGTATGTCAAATCAAGTGTTTTGGTTTATGCATAACAAATTAAGTGTGTAATCTTATATTTAATCATGACAGTGTGGTTTTGAAATAGCATGAAAAGGGTATGCCCATGTAGATTGAAAAACTTGATACAATACAGAAGCAAAGGCATGAATAGAACCACATGCAGGTTGCAAGTTCATATAAAAGAAAATTATCCTTTCTGTCCTACTAATTGTATTGCCAATATACTCTTGAATCCTGCTTTAGAACCTAATCTTCTATAAAATCAATTGACGTCCAATTCTAGTTTCAAAAGCACTAACAAGAATAGCCACACACACACACAAATAAAAGGGATCCGCACTGATATAAAGATGATCAAAATATATTAACTAAGCAATTTATATAATATTTCTATGCACAAATGTGAAGAATCAAACACATAGGGAAGCAAACATATACAAACTAATTAAATAATACAGAAGGAAAGCAAGTAATATTACCTGGGAAATTAAGTTCATACCTAGGAGCTATGAATTGTACGTCTCCAGCACCAAGCACATTCAGAAGGCATCACCACTGTATATATAAGATCGTATGTGTGATCGACGAAAAGCTGGGCTTGGCAAAAAAAGAAAGGTACTTAGTCTGAATTAATCTATTAAAAGAAGCAAGATCCTAACCTGTATATGGGAAATTTTATTCGTTGGAAAATCTACAAATATATTTGTAATTTTTACTCTTTGGAAACTTGGTTTGAATTCAAAAAATGAAAACCTAAAAACCCAATCAGAGCTAGGTTTGGAGAACAGATCTAAAAGCAAAAGCTAATAATCGAAGAAGATATAGATACACATATATTATATATGCATAATCCACAAAAAAAAGATGCGTACCTGTTGCTTCCTTCTAGAGTTTCAAAGCGACGGAGGAGTGGCTATGGTGTAGGCGAGTTGTCTATGGTTTGAGGAGAGAGTGTGTGGTGTAGGAGAGAGAGAGAGAGAGGGAGAGAGGAGGGCAGGGCTGAGGTCGAGCTCTGATCGGGATGCTGGTGGTGGGGTTTGATCGAGAAATAGCAGCCGTTCTCTTCTCTCTCTCTGTCGCTGGTCGCCGTCTGTTGCCGCCCTTCTCTTCTCTCTCTGTGTTGCCAGCAAAATAGGAGCCGGTCAGAAATAGCAATTGCCATTTCTTGTGCTACAATTGGCACTAGAATTGGCAAAGTTAAAATTTAGCAGGTGAAATGACAGCCCATTTGAAGCCTATCTGCTATATTTTACAAATAACAGCCCAAATAGCATTGGGTTGGAGATGCTCTGAGCAAGCTCACCTTTGAGCATTCTTTAGTGAAATTTTATTTATCAAAAAATAATAATAATAACTGCACTGTTATAGCTTCAGCAAATATCAGGAGTTACTTAGAAAGTTGCTTTTGTAAAGACAGGAAGCAATTCTGTTTACAAAAACCAAAATTTGTAAGTATGCGTTAAACCCAATGCCTGTTCATATTCCAGGAAGCAAGAAAACCAATTTCTTCTACTATAATTAAGTATAACAAAATGGACCTTTAAAGGAAAGAGATGATCTGGTAACTTCGTGAGGAATGATTTGACACAGAAGATAACCAATTTATTCTACTATAATCATGGTAGACAGAGGTATATGTTTATGATTCCTGTACCTGCCAAACAATCATTCTGCTTTTAGCTTCAGTCCCTCTGGCAGACTAGACACATAAACAGAGCAATAGGTAAGTGAATTTCATTAAAACAATAGCTCTATGCCAACCTAGCAATGTAAATAAAGAGATCAATTTAAGTATATATTGAGTTTCTGCAATGCATCAATTCTACCTCATATTGAACAAAACTGTCAGATGTACTGCTCAAAACTCACGAGATCCTACATACATTTTGCACGTCAGCTGCCTCCACCACACCAATGTTGGGAAATTTTCAAACACTTGCTCATATTTTCTGTTGACAAACATAAGAAGAATGTACTATCAAAAGGTGGTCATTGTTAACTAAAGAGATCAATTTTAAGTATATATTGAGTTTCTGCAATGCATCAATTCTACCTCATATTGAACAAAACTGTCAGATGTACTGCTCAAAACTCACGAGATGCCACATACATGTTGCACGTCAGCTGCCTCCACCACACCAATGTTGGAAAATTTTCAAACGCTTACTCATATTTTCTGTTGACAAACATAAGAAGAATGTACTATCAAAAGGTGGTCATTGCTAACTAACTTCCTGGATCCTGACTAGTCTGGAGTAATACTGGTTTCTATTAGCAAAAAATAATAAAAAAAAAAAAGGAAACAACAAAAAAAAAAGAGAAGCTAAACAAACTTTGTATTGATTGATTCTAATGAGAAACTGAAATGTCTGTTGTATGATATAAGTCAGCCTTCATTAAATTAAAGTCAGGAAGCAAATAATTAGAAAGTTTAGCACAACCATTTTTTGAGGACAGATTTTAGCTGCTATGGCATTTATCGGTTTACTCTTGCAGTTCTTCAGTATGTTATTTGAAATCATTTTCTTCACATCATTATTTGTGTTCTCTATGCCCTTTCCTCACTTAAGGCCAATCCTCTAGTTCAATTTTAATAACCGACGAAAGCCTTGGTTTCCTCAAAAATGACTCACCATCTCCAGATGAATCTTTCTGAAATTCAGTTAACTTATGCACAAGTACTCTACTTTAGGAGCGACTACAATCTAACCTTAAGGTGAAACTTGACACTACAAGTTATGATTTTCAAACTTCAATAGGCTTCACAAACCATTTCACTCCTGAATCAAATGAGGGCAGACCTTGAAACACAACAGCCAATACGGCCTGTTGGATGCAATATAAATTGTATAAAATTTTATCTTCATCTATACGATTCAGCATGTGCTATCCTGTAGTACATGGTCTTCGAGCTTTTAGGATTTAACAAGACCTCATTCTCACAAGAAAATGCCCAAAATTTTGTCTCTCATGAGTGGCAAACTTATGCAACTCATGCTAGTTTGCATAGATAAAACATGTATAAACAAATTAATATTCAAGAAAGATTAAATTTAAAGATCAGAAAACTCTTTAAATAAAAATTATTCAATTTAAAGGAGAGACCCACTCAGGACCTTGCATACTAGAGTTTAGTTTTAGACAAGTCCCAGTTCATTAGATGTTGTTCTTATGTTTTAGAAAAGCCATAGTGTTAGAAGGAGTACCTATATTAAGGAATTATACAAGCAAACAAGCTTCGTTACGTCAGTAAGAGGAGACTCCTATTTCAAGTTTCCATTTGAAAACTTTAGACTTGATTGCTGTCTGTATTTCCTTTTACTCTGCAACATGGTCTCCGTTATTCTGGTAAATAAGCAAGAATTAGATTAACTCAAAAAGACATGTACAAGGTGTAAGAGGGGCAAGTTTCCTCGGGCAGTTTGTAAAAGGGTTTTCTTTGGCTGGTGTACAGCTCAATAGAACACAATACAGGTGTTACTCGCTATTCTGCAGATTAACCAACCACCACTTGGCACTTCCTTTCCGTCGGTATCATACCTGATTATGGGCATGCAATAGATGATCAATACTCCCTATTCATCCTTCATGTGCCTCGTATATGGAGTTTATTAGGTGTATGTAAAGTCCAAATCAGACTCGGTTAGGATTAAGTAGAACTTCGTGTACAAATATGTCATAGTTTCAGTTCAATAAAGAATTGCTTTAGAAGAAACTAAGCAGTAATTATCTTTGACAATTATGGCATGAAATTCTAACCCTAGGCAAGCTCAATTTTTCTACTTCTCTTCTTTTCTTTATTTTTCTGCTCCTATTAGATACTAAAAACAATAACAAGACCTTATTAACACCTTCTATACCTTAAAGTTGTTCCTTTTCACAAGCCTCAACCCTTTCCTCCTACCACCACTCAGCCCCAGCACCCAAAAGGAAAAACTACACTTAGTTACTGGGAACTGTTCACAGCCCCAGAACTCTATCTTTTCTAAATTGAAACCTCAAGTGCTTACCCTCCTCTGACACCCTTTACAAATTTCAATTGACTTTTAGCCAGAAATAATAATACGAAGAACAACAAAAACAAAAATAACAATTATAATAAGTTCCAAAAGAACTTCCTTAACACTGTCCTACATCTTATACACAAATATTTTAGCCACAAATAATCATAATTAAAATAACAACAACAACAATAACAATAATAATAATAAGTTCCAAAAGAACATCCTTAACACTGTCCTACATCCTACATCCTACATCTTGTACACAAATATGTATATGCATGTAAGTTCTTGGAAACGTAGTAAAGTTCCAAATGTTTATAGAAACGTCAATACTGGATTTATCTCTAGAACATATATATATATGTGTGTGGATGAGTCTATCTCCAGAACATTTTTGGCCTGAAGAAGAATTGAAAAGGAAACAACCAACATTCTGTCATTTGGTTTCTAAACAGTAATTTTTTCTTTAATTTGGTAGCAAAACTAAAATCAATGGCAATGGCAGGTTGAAATTACTCCGCTTTTATTTTCCTTCAAAAGGAGATAACCAAGTTTTCTGAAAAGTTGGTCATACAACTTCAGCTTTATCGTAACATCAAGAAAGCTTCCTTGACCAATTGGGTAGAATCGAAAGAACTCTTTGACAAAATCATGCAATGGATTTTAACATTTCAGAATGATATTTAGTTTTCAGCTACATATACAGAGCACAAGATATTCTTTTTGTAAATTAATTAAAATTAAGAAATACAAAACAGTGTGTGTGAGAGTCCCTTGAACCTCAATTGTGTTCAAGGATATCCACTAAACATGTCCCAACATGATGGGAATTCTTTTCGCAGAGTTTCTCAACAACAGAATGGCAAATACTTTCACCTACGGCAAAACCCCTCTTTAACATGCAATCAATAATTAGTAAAGCATCATCCAACTTATCTCCTTGTGAGAGACAATGAATTGTTCTCTCAAAGGTTTCCTTTCGTGGTCTGAGCCTACTCCTCAGCATTGTGGCCAACCATTCTATTGCTTCTGCAACATACCCTTGCTCGCTCAATCCGGTAATGATGAAATCACGAGTACAGACGGCTGGTTCAACACCCCTATATTGCATATCTTCCCATAACTCTTTTGCTTCATGCACATGTCCCACCTCACAAAGTTTTTCTATGAGTACAGTGTAAGAGGCAGTGGATGGCTGCAAACCCTGCTCTAAAAATTCATGCAAAAGTTTCAAACCCTCATCTATCTTCCCTTCCTTGCAGAATCCCTGAATCAGAGTGTTGTACGTGATCACATCACGAACAATAGTCTTCTGGGGCATTTCTTCAAATAAGTCCCAAGCTTCTTTAGTCCTACCATGCAAACATAACCCTCCAATCATTATATTGCAACTAATTGTGGTCTCCCTAAAACGTCTATCACACATCTTCTTGTATAGTTCCTGTGCCTCTTCAATATTACCGATTTTACACAGCCCATAAATGAGTGAGAGATATGTGTATTCGCTCGGAAGAATCCCTTTATGTATCATCTCAAACCACAGCTTACGAGCATCCCCAATCCATTTCATCTTACAAAGACCATGAATCATTGTTGTATACATTACCCTATCCGGCGCATAACCTCTGTCCTTAAGATCCTTAAAAATCCGAAAACCTTCAACCCGCATCGTTCTTCTCTTGCATAACCCACGGATGATTTCCTGATATGTATAAATATCCGGAGCACAATTCTTTGCAATCATTGTGTGAAGAAGAGCAGAAACTCTAGAATAATGCCCATCATTACAAAACCCAGAAATCAATTTATTAAAAGTAACATTACTCGGGACATTGCCATCTGCCAAAACTTGCCGAAGGAGCTCATAACCGTTTGAAACTTTCTTTTCAATACAAAATGCTTGAATTAAATAACCAACAGTGTCAACATCCCCCGCAACCCCACATTCCATCATTTCACCATATAATTTCCAAACAACATCAGTTCGCTCAGCTCGAACTGAACCCAGTAAAGCCGAATTCCAACTTGCAAATGACGGGGTAATATTAAGGCTTTTCAATTGATCAAACACAGCAAGTGCTTCATCAATTGACCCATTTTCACATAAACATTGAATATATAACTCTAGAGAAGCTGGTTCTGGAGTAAAATGGGTACAATCGAGAAAAGATTTCGCAGCATCGGCGGCCTTGGCCTCCACAAGACCACAGAAAACCAAATTACAAGAAGAGGGATCGAGAACAAACCCGTGTAAAGAAGTGAGCCAGTGAAAGAATCTGAACGACAGAAATGCATTGTTCTGGTGCTTCAGAACCTCGCGGACAAAGTTGGGGTCGAAGAAATTGATGGTGGGGAAATCGGAGAGGAGGGTTTGTTCCCATCTGGGTCGGCTTCGAATGACTTTGGAAACCTCCCTTGCGATCTCGGTGAAGTTCTGGTGCTTCTGTTGATGTGGATTCAGCTGCTTTTGGTTCTGAATAGATGCTTCGCCGCTGATGTCTCCGCCGACTCCAATGTTCCGAATTTGGTGGTTAGGGTTTTGGATGGTTCGAGGGTTTTGGCGGAGGAAGAGATTGGCGAAGGATGAGGAAGGTCTGGCCATTAGAACTCCAACATTTGATTTCTCGTTAATGGAGTCGTGCTAGAGAGAGAAAGGGAGAGAGAGAAGGTCAGAAGGAATAACATGAAGCCCCAACGGAAGAAACAGTGGTGAATTGATGATGCTTTTGGGCCTTTTTAATTTATTTCCAGGAAAATAAAGAACTACTTTTTCCACTGAATGTGGATTTTTTCAATTACACAAAATAAACAGAAAAAAATAGATGGCCGATAATAGTAGGTTATAAAGTTGAAAAATGTCTAAATGTTATTTATTATTATATATTTATTTACCAAAAATAAATAATAATAATAATTAAAAAAATAAGTTAAACAACGTCAAAATAAGCTTTTCGCATTATGTTTGAACAAGGACTAAATAATTCACAGACATATTTCGGGCCATGTACAAAGAGATAGAAAATTAAATAAATTAAATAATAATCCCGGACCAATGAAAGGTAAGGTAAAAGAAATATAAAATGATCCCACGTCATGGGTGCAGGCCAATCATCACATAACACATCATCAAAAAGTTGAATATAGGTTGAACAGATATGACATATTTGTTGAGGTATCATGTGGTAATTGACCGAGATCATCCCATAAACATGTAGTAATAATTTATGTTATGTGCCCTCGAGTCTTTTTTAATTAAGGCAAAAGGAATACCCCTTGAGCTTTTCATGAGCAAAATATCTCTCCGGGAACTTAAAAAGGGAGCAACTCACTCATTCTACTTTCAAAAGTGACCATTTTGCCCCCCTTTAATTGCCGGAATCCTCTTTCTAGTCCAATTTGAATGTGCAATTACATAAATACCCCATATAATTAACATTTTCAAAAAAAAAAAAAAAAAAAAAAAAAACCTATAATTGCAAAATGTCTTATATACCCTTGACTATTTTAATTACAAGTTTGCCAAGTTATTTTTGTTTTTCAGTTATTCTCTCTTCCTTCTTTCTCCTCTCCACCACCAACCCACACTGCGTCTTCCCACTGCCACCACCCCATATCCACCACACATATATATATATATATACTACGTAATATAAATTCTCTTCTCCATCACTTTCTCTATCCTCTCTACGTCTCCACCACAACCTTATAAATTCTCTTCTCTATCATTTTCTCTATCCTCTCTACCTCTCCATCACTGCCTATTTCAATGACTTTCAAATATTACTTACTACTCAACATCAAAGCCACCCTCCAAAATACCAACATCAATATATGTTGTTCAATTGGTGGGGATGAGAGATATGCGAGAATTCCATTGAAGGTGATGCAAAGATGAAATTCAGGGACTTCTGAATTCAACACTTTTATAGCAAAGAGCCAAATTGATCACAACCAATGTAATGACCCAAATTCGGGGATCCGGATCACTAACCCGAGGTTCACACAATGATACTATGGTCATTTCACGTCATTATAATAGTTCTAGAGTCTATAAGGATATAATAGTCATTTACTGTGGTCAAATAATGTTTTTTTAACCCAAAAGGGCAAAACAGTCATTTAGTACCTTCATTATAGCTTCTAAACTCATCAGGTGTAAAACTGTCATTTTCTATGATCATTCTATTCTTTGATTGGTAATTAGGTAATTATACTGAAATATAGGGTTAAGGTGCAAATACTAGCTCATTTAGTTTCTTACGTAATTTCATCTAACTGTTTAGATGGCTTAGTCCAGAGAGCATGTAAAACTGAGGAACCGTCTAACCGGGTAGATGGATGCATCTAACTGGTTAGATAGCCCCATCTAACCCCCTTCACTGCCCCACCCAACTAACCAGGTAGATGGGAGCATCTAACCGGTTAGATGGGCATCCAAAATCTAATCTAATCGGTTAGATAACCCCATCTAACCAGTTAGATGATGCCCAGAAGTAAAGTGATCGATTTGATCACTTTCCAACCTGTTCAAATGTAACCCAAAGCAAGCAAAAATGAAAATATAGCTCCATGGACATCATCAACCTTAAAACATTGTATTGAATCATTAAAATAACATCATTCATACATCTTTTGAGAATTAAAAACTCTGTAAAACATACATATATGTCCAAAAAAATAGGATTACAAACAGGGATGGATTTCAAGTGAGGGGGGCACGCTGCCAAAAATAATAATAATAATAATAATAATAATAATACGAAGTGTATATATATAATAACACAATTATAAAATTCAAAAGGTAAAGAAGAAGAAAATTATTCAAATATACACGTTAAAAAGAAGAATTTTAAAAGTAAAAGTAAAAAAATATAAAGAAAAGAAAAATGAGAGAACTTTAAAAAGAAAAAGTTAAAAGAGTTTCAAATGAGGAAGGAAATTTTGACTTTTTCTATTAAAGAAATTTAAGGAATTTGAAGAGTAAATAAGAAAATAAAGAAAAAAATAAAGATATAATTTTAGGAACCACAAAACTTAGGGGGGGCACAGTATAATTTTTTTCATATATATAGAAAAAATTAAAACAATTACTACATATATTATAGAGTGCGCTCCAATTCAGGGGGGCACGTGCCCCCCTAGGCCTTCATTGGCTCCATCCCTGATTACAAATCAAGGCCTCCATAGCCATAATACAACGATTTCGTATGGAGTCGACAAAAGAATAAGGTCATTATATATAGTCAATAGCTTAAAAGAATGCCTTTACAAAAGATACAAAGATGGTCGTCAAACTGCATCTAAACTTGCGGGGGTGCATCATTTACAACATTCTTACCATGTCCTGAAAATGTTAGAATATAGGGTGAGCACAATGGCTCAATAGAGATAGCCTAAAGTACAGTTCTTGTAATCCTATAAATCACATCGAAAGCAAGAGATAACCAGAAAAGGGATCATACAGTGGGAAAGAGCAATTTTACAACATAAGTTTAAACTTCATGCTTTACAAATTATGAAATAAGATGCAATGAAATGTACTCTCCCCAATTCTGAAACAATTTCTGACACAATACAACCCACACCGAAAATATTAACACAACTTGTTCTTAGGCAACTCCTACATGTCATGAAGGGAATTGGCTAGCTTTCCTGACCTATGGTGTCTCCCTAGCATCATTTGGAGCCTCGATAGCTCAATTATACACTTCCAAATTCCGTATCGTGCTCCCCTCTAGATTGGTTAACCCCGGACCATATGGTAACTCGAAGGCATTTGTTTTTACAAAACCTTTTCGAATAAAACTTTCAAATCAACTTTCACAAATCGTTGGAAACCATTTTAAACATCCTTTCCAACCCATGAACTAAACCAATGTCCATGATATGCATACTTTATAATCAATTACTTGCATTTTTCAAGAAAATCAACATATAACATTATTATAATATTATGCTTTAAAACAAATACGTCATAACATCATATATATAGCATGAATCATGTAAGGCACAATCATCTCAAGAACATAAAATTACAAGTAACAACACATTCACATATATCATGCTTTTCAACAAATATACATAATAGAAAACTCACAAAGATCAAAAATATTGTAATTTAGACTTCCCTACCTCAAATAAAGAAATCAAAGCTCAAGATCCAAACTTGAAATCCCACCAAATGGATGCAAGACCGGTGTCAAAACGTTCCCCTTGCCAAGCTCTATAACCCTTCTAACTATGGTCTTGTATGTATACCACTCGATCTCAATCATTATTAATTATGGAACCCAAAATAATTATAATAAAAAGTTAATTTTATATGCATATATAGAAATATAAATAATTAAATTATGAATACACCAATTTACAGAAGGAAATCTACCTATGCATGAAGTTTGTGGAGAAACAGAATAGTGGAGAGAAACAAGGAGAAAATGAAGAAAAGTGGGGGAGAAACAACTGATATGAGCACAAGAGGAAACTAAAATACAAAGTGACGAAATTTTGCGAGAAAGTAAATTTTCACGTGTTTTGTACTGAATTTTTTTAGAAAAAATTCACAACATGTGAGAATCTTACTTTTCCAAAAGTTTTCACTTTTCATCTAACCAAATGCATAAAAATTTTAAATTTTTTTTTATTCGTTTCCTTTCAAGCTAGTTCTTGCTAAGAGCAGCTCCATTAGTGCTCCGTTTGGCGAAAATGACCCAAATTTTGGATACTACTTGCTCCAATGGAATATGGGAAAAGTGGGCCACCAATTTGTGATCGCCAAGGAGGTTGCCAAAAAGGATGATTGGGAAGGTGATTGTGGCTCACTTTTTGTGGGCCCATTTTTGTTTTCTTTTATTTTTTTAATTCAGGCCCATAACACTGTACCAGCCTAAAACATTGTTCTTAAGGGCATGTTTGACTGAAATAAAAGCTAAAATTCAGATTTTTGGCTTACTTTGGTCTCTCTCTTTTTTTCCTCAAAATAATTGAACCAAAGAGTCGTTAAGGCATTGTTTGGATGACACAAATAATGCCTTAAATACTTAATGAAAGAAAGAAAAAACAGAAAAGAAAATGCCACTTAAGCTTTTCCAAGAGCCACGTCAGCAATTTCAAGAGCCACGTCAACAGCTTTCGCTCTCCAAAAACATGCATTCCATCAAGTTCTCTGAATTTTCGCTCTCCAAAAAAATATATATAAAAAATTATTATTATTATTTTATTTTAATTTTCCTAACGGCTATATTTTTAATCGCAATATTCCTAATGGTTATATTTGTAACGATTATATTTTTTCAACGACAATATTTTTTAATCAAACAATATCTTTACAAATTATTAAAAAAACTAGGATTGATATTATAACTTTAAACAATACATTATCCATTATGGATTAAAAAAAAATTAAATAAAACAATTAACAATAATTTAAACAATACAATATCCTAAATTAGAATAAGAAAATAAATAGACTAAGGATTACAAAATCCTATGGGAACTTTGGGGCAGACCGTCAATGCAAAGATACCAATATCTCATTTTGTCGTACAATAATCCAAGTTTTCCCCGCTTCTGTTGGTGTTGAATTTGGATTTGTTAACATGATCTCCTTCTCTTTAGCTCTTTGTTTCTTTAGAATCTCTAACTGCCTCGTCTTTTCTTTCTCCGCTTTTCTTACCTCTTGTGCCACTTAGGCATCCTTCATTTTCTCCTGACGACTCTCATAACAGCA